CCCTCCTGCAGAGGTTGGATGGCCTGGAGGAGACCGGAGCGCCTATGTTCTGAGGTCAGCCTCCCTCCCAAGGGGGGCAGACTCCAACACGCCCAGTTCCTTCTTCCCCAATAGTTACCAAATACACTCCTTTCCTCTGGCGGAGTGGATTAAAGGGGGTGGGAAGAAAAAGTGGATTCCAAATGGGGTCCAGTCACGTGGAAGGAAGGTTAAGGACGGGGCACAGCATTCCTGTGCAGCGTAGGCACAGTTGGCCCCGGCCCTCCCCAGGATCTGGCTGCCCACCTGCGGAGGGCGTCCAAGCCTGGGGCTAGGGGAGTGGAGCTTGTGCTTGCCGCCTTCCGGGGCTCATAACCCGCCCTGCTCGGTAAACTGCCACTCCCACCTGCCTCCTGGACAGCTGCCTCCTGAAGCTCTTTCCCGAAGCATTTCTCCATAGCAGAACTCCCTCTTGAACTCCAAACCTTTATTTCGAGCTGCCTGGCAGATGTCTCTCCTCGGAAATTCTGCAGGCATCCAAAAGTCACCGTTCCCTAGGCGGAACCTGTGCGTTGGGTGCCCTTCTCACATGGAGTCTCGGCCGCATTGCCGCCTCTGTTCTGATAACTCCCGACCTCTCCCAGCTCCGGTGAACACAGCCTGGGCGGCAAGCGCTGTGCTGCAGCTGTGTGCCTGTCTCTCCTCTGCCCACGAGCACTGGAGGCCTCTCTGTCTTCCTTCCTGCAGCGGCCAGGCCGTCGCGTGCCAGGTGGTAGGCACTGGTGGATGATGTTTGCTGAGCAGGAGCCCTCAGGCAGGCGAACCTTGGTCAGGCCTCCCAGGCAAGGGGATTTCAGTTTAGGGACCGAGGTTCTCCTTCGGCAGGCGATCACAGTTCCCTGTGACCACCAAAGAAACACAGACCATTCCTGGCACTTCTGAGCATTTCTTGCAACTCTGAATTATGGTATAATTAACACTCAGTGAGGTGACTTCACTGCTGCAATCGAAAGGGACAGATAGTTATAGTTGCAATTAAACTCGACCCCACCAGGTGCCGCTGTTGTTGCTGCCAAACAGAGATGCCCACAGCTTCCTCGTCCGTGCTTTCTGCCTGGAGCCCTTTAAGACCCTCTTACTTTTGACCTCCTTGCCCCACTCCCTACCACTCATTGCAGTCTCTAATCAGGGTCTGGTTTAACCTCTAAATGGCAAGTCTCGGGAAAAGCAAGGAAATTCTCCATCTTACTCTGACCCAAATCCCTTTTGCTGTGTAAGTAGATTTTGTTCTAGCCACACGGAGAGCAGATGCTCATCCTCACTGAGTCTGAAACCCTTCACTTAAGATCATATTGATTTCTCGTGTTTCGTTTATAGAAACAGGCGGAATGAGCCCTCACCCTCTCTTCCTAGGCTTCCTTTCCAAGCTCCTAGCCACCTCTCGCAGTGCTCCTTCCTGGAACTTCCTCCTGGGCCTACCCACAGTCCCCTTTTATGGAGACCACAGCTGTGGACGGGCCTGGCTGTTGCTGAACCGGAAGACTCCAGATAAGGCCAGGAAGCCTGGGGCCTGCCCTGGCCCCAGACGAGTTGGCCCCGAAACTTTTTCTCATTCGGGGCTTTTGTGCCTGCAGTGGCCGGCCAGCTACAGGTGTTTCAAAGATCCAGTAAAATAAGGGAAATGAAAATGTTTCAGAAGAGTGCTGGCAGGATGATGGGATATAAGTGACTTTTTTTTTTTTTCATAATATGAGTCATGCTTTTTTTTTTTTTTTGAGATACAGTTTCGCTCTCCAGTTGCCCAGGTTGGAGTGCAATGGCATGATCTCGGCTCACTGCAACCTCTGCCTCCTGGGTTCAAGCAGTTCTGCGTCAGCCTCCTGAGTAGCTGGGATTATAGGTGTGTGCCACCACACCCGGCTAATTTTTTTTTTGTATTTTTAGTAGAGGGTTTCACCATTTTGTCCAGGCTGGTCTTGAACTTCTGATCTCAAGTGATCCACCCGCCTCAGCCTCCCAAAGTGCTGGGGTTACAGTTGTGAGCCACTGCGGCTGGCCTATTGTTTTTTCAATATAATAAAACATAAAAATATTTAAGAGGGTGACAGTTAATCCAAGAGCAGAGCTCCACTGCCCACTTATGTAACCACATTCTACGGGTCTCCCCAGTCCCCCATCATGCAGGAAACCGATTCGCTAGCGTTCTTGTCTCTAGTGGTTTTGTTTTAACTGTGGTCTCTTTTCTATTCCTTTTCTTGATCATCCCATTAATGCTGTCCTGAGAGTCGTCCTCCTGAGGGGAATCACCCATAAAAATAAAGGATTCACTCACGAGAGGGACAAATGCTTACCCAGGGAGCCCCTGCTTGGTGCCAGGCCCTGGGGTGATCCCTTTTTCATGCCGATGCCCTGATTCCTCACACTCCTGGGAAAGGGTCCCTTGGCCCATTTTGTACACAAGAAAACTGGCTCTAATAGGAGCAATGGAAGTGGCCCAGGGTTAGTGAAGCAGGAGCTGACCTCTGCGCCCGGTTCTGCCAGACTCCAGGACCCTTCAAGGCACTGGCAAGTGTGGTCTGCCCTGGACAAGCACAGTTCAGCAACAGCCTCGTCCTGGGATGCCTCAAAACTCACTGTGCCAGCTACACGGAGGCCCTTTTCGTCACCTCACTTTGTCATCAAATAAACCCAGAGGCCAGAGATCTTTACATGTCATCCTGAACGATGCTGATTTTAAATGTTTATTCTGCAGCTTGAGATCCCTACTGATTAAGAATTCAGCTTCTTTAAAGAAGGTGAGGTGGAGAGGGCTTATTTAAAAAAATTATCTTGTTGAAAATGAATCTGTTGTGTCTAGATATTTGCTCTAAAGTTCATTCCTGGCTGGGAGTGGTCACTCACACCTGTAATCCCAAATATCTTTGGGAGGCTGAGGTGGGTGGATCATGAGGTCAGGAGTTCAAGACCAGCCTGACCAAGATGGTGAAACCCCGTCTCTCCTAAAAATACAAAAAAAAAAAAAAAAAAAAAATAGCCAGGTGCGGTGGCAGGCACCTGTAGTCCCAGCTACTCAGGAGGCTGAGGCAGGCGAATTGCTTGAACCCTGGTGGCAGAGGTTGCAGTGAGCTGAGATCGTGCCATTGCACTCCAGCCTTGGCGACAGAGTGAGACTCCATCTCAACAAACAGACAGAAAAAAAAAAAAAAAGCCGGGTGTGGTGGCGGGTGCCTGTAGTCCCAGCCACTCAGGAGGCTGAGGCACAAGAATCACTTGAGCATGGGAGATAGAGGTTGCAGTGAGCTGAGATCGCGCCATTGTACTCCAGCTTGGGTTACAAAGACTGTCTAAAAAAAAAAAAAGTTCATTCCCTTTGGAAAAGCAGTAATGAAGTTAAAAAAGACCATTGTCTTCGGAACTCAAGCTCCTCTGACAGCATCCAGACTTTGCCCCCTCAGAGAAGCCCAGACAGCAGGAAAGAGAGGAGTCTCTAGGCCTCCCCACGGTTCTCTCAGGTGGAGTAAAGGGATCCCATGAAAAGAATCGCAGTGAGCAGCAGGCCGGGGTTCCCTCTGTCTGAGGACTCTGCATTATCAGAGGACGAGGCTGGTGAACTCAGGAAAGATTCTCTGGGTAGAACTGTGGGCTGGTGGCCCAAGACAGGGAGCCTCTGCCAGCGTCCCCTCCGGCTTGGAGATGGTCCATGCTTGGCCTCAGCTGACCAAACTCTCCCACCACCTTGCTTGGCTCCCTGGGCACTCTGCTTTCCCGCCCTTGGCTTGCAGCACCCCCAGCCACCCACAGGAGCCACCTTGCAGGAGGGGTCCTAGGTGGAGTGACTTCTCTCCCTTGTCGGGGATTGGCTGGCCAGGCGGCCCTGTGTGTCAGATCACAGCGAGGCTGGGCAGGGGTGTGGGTAGGCGAGGCTTCTCCCAGAACTGCCACTGAGGCGCCTGTGCTCAGTCACAAGAATGCTCAACGTGGTGAGTGTGGCCTGTTCCCCTCTCATCCCAAGATGCTACCTCTGCCTTCCTGCCTGTCCTGTCTGCCGGGCCGGGCTGGGGCTCCCAGGTGGCAGCCCTCCTCCCTGGACAGGGGTGGCTAACATGTCTCTGCCTGAATCCTGCACTGTTTGGGCTGCACAAGGTTCACCTGCATTGTGTTGTGCTATTACTTACATAGATTTGGGAGGAAAATCGATCTTTTCTTGAAGTGGGGAAATGAAGGGCTTAAGGTGCCATTTTAAACACCAGAAAGGGCAGGGCTCTTAGTGGAGATGCATTTTTTTTATTTTTTATTTTTTTTGAGATGGAGTCTTTGTCACCAGGCTAGAGTGCAGTGGCACAATCTCGGCTCACTGCAACCTCTGCCTCCGGGGTTCAAGCAAATTCCCCTGCCTCAGCCTCCCAAGTAGCTGGGACTACAGGTGCACGCTACCATGCCGGTCTAATTTTTTTGTATTTTAGTAGAAATGGGGGTTTCACCATGTTGGTCAGGAAGGTCGCCATCTCCTGACCTCATGATCCAGCCGCCTCAGCCTCACAAAGTGCTGGGATTACAGGCGTGAGCCACCGCGCCCAGTCACAAGATGCATTTTTTATACCTGCCACTTTGCTTCATCTGTCGCCTTCACAGCTCCTAAGGGAGTTGGAGCTTGTGCCGCCACCGCTGCAGAGGATTAAGGGGTTTCCCTCTGGGGGCTCCAGAAGCTGCAAGCCAGGGTGTTTTTGGCTGCTTGAGCAAAGGATAAGACCTGCACTTCCCTGCTTGGTCCTCAGCCCTGAACGTGGCAACCGACTGCTCCATGAGCTGCTGACTGTGGGTTTCTGAGTGCGGGGTGGGGATGCCATGCCTCCCTTTCCTGCTCACCTGTGTTTTCTGTACAAACCCGTACAGTAGTCAAATAAGGGAAATGAACAAAGGGTATGTGAAAAAATACAAGGACCAAATTTTATAGCTTTGGTTTTTGTGGAAACGCTGAAAGAAAAATTGTCAATATTGAGGAAAAGGCTTCAGAGGCAAACTTCCGAGGGGCATTTTTTATTATAAATTTAATATGGTTGATTAATGAAAAATCACAATGAAGTACCAAGAAAATGTTTGTCAATATAAAAATTTTAGCAGCATTTCCATAGTTTCAGGCTCCAACATTAGTCGTACTTCCTCCCTCCCGCTATCAAAAAAGAAGAGACTCCAATGGGATAGAGTAGAGCCTGGGGATGTCCAGCTTCGTGTGGGCCTCAGAGAAATACTCCATCCAGCGTCCAGGATTTCCCCTCCCTCCCATCCCTGAACTGCTAGAATGTCAAAGCACAGAAAAAGCCTCCTTTGTGCTAACATTTGAGACAAGGATCCATTCTTCGGGCTGCCGGGAGAATTGGGATGAAAACTGACCCTGGACTTGACATGTAGTGCTCAGCCGCAAGCCCTCACCAACACCTGTGCATTCTCTACTCTGATGACAAGGAAAGGCCACTGCAGGGCGGGCGGGATCTGGGATGTGGTGGCGGCGGTGGCACTGCTGGTGGGAGCCACGGCGTGGCGCATGCTGGGTGACGGTGTCACCGCCACACGCTGGTCCGGGGCAGGCATGATCAGTGAGGGTGGGAGACAGACAATGTGAAAATGTAACACTGGCCAACGATTCCCCTGCTTCTTTGGTACTTTCCAAAATTCTCTGATCAAAAAAGTATAAGGGAAGCACACCATTAAAAAATTACAGCTTTACGTATTTACAAAAGCAATGATGATATATTACACAAGAATCAATACACAATATATGAACAAATCTTCAGTGAAAGCACTTATGAGCTCCCATCCCGCTGGCATCCCACGGCACGCAGCCTCTGCAGGGTCGTGTCGCCTGTCCTGAAGCTCATCACCTTATAGTATATTAGAAGGGAAAAACATCATTTGGAAAAAAATCATTTTCCAATCTACTCTTTCCTTTTAAAAGGCTTAACATTTGCCATCGAAATAGTTATGTACAAGATTTACTGAATATTGACTTCTAGGCAATGATTTCCACTTCCAACTTGAATATGTTTGAAATAATGCTGCCTATTCTATGGATACAATAGATATTTAATATATAAGTAACTGCACCACATTATATCACCAGGATACCAGTTTAATACATATTATTATGTACAGTAGTTAAGTTAGCTCGAGAAGGTGAGTCTCCGCAGCCCAGGTGAACGGTGTGGGATGGAGCCTCCTGGAAGGGAGGCGGAGAGCTGGTCATGAGAGCCGTGCAAGGCCAGGATGTGTATGTGTGGCACAAGGGCACGTGTTTCCCACACGCCCACACCAGATCATCCCTTTAGCTGTTTGCAGCTGGAAGAAGACAAATCACACATATGGAAGGATCCCATACATGAGAAGAGCCATGACAGCAGCGCTGAACAGCCCAGCCACAGGGACGGTCACGAACCAGGCCACGAAGATGTTCCGAAAAAGGCGCCAGTCCACAGCCTTGCGGGAGCGGATCCAGCCCACGGCCACCACCGAGCCCACCTGTGGGAGTACAGACATTGCAAAGTAAAAACAGGTGAGCCACAAAGGCTATACTCAACCAAGGTACGTGGGCTAATCTCAGAAACAAGCTCTACTACAACATTACCCAGTCCCCTACATTTGTTAAAGCTTGTAAAATAGCTTAGATTTTAGGTAGAATTGTTTGGGTATTCTTCTCTTCAGCATATAGCTCTTTATATAGTTTTTATATAGTTGTTTTGAGACAGAGTCTCATTCTGTCTCCCAGGCTGGAGTGCAGTGGCGTGATCTCAGCTTACTGCAACCTCCATCTTCCAGGTTCAAGCAATTCTCCTGCCTTAGCCTCCTGAGCAGCTGGGATTACAGGTGTGCGCCACCACCCTCGGCTAATTTTCATATTTTTAGTAGAGATGGAGTTTCACCATGTTGGCCAGGCTGATCTCAAACTCCTCACCTCAAGTGACCCTCCCTCCTCGGCCTCCTAAAGTGCTGAAGTGCAGTGGTGCAATCTCAGCTCACTGCAACCTCCGTCTCCCAGGTGCAAGTGATTCTCCTGTCTCAGCCTCCTGAGTAGCTGGGATTACAGGCAAGCGCCACCACATCCAGCTAATTTTCATATTTTTTAGTAGAGATGGGGTTTTGTCATGTTGGTCAGGCTGGTCTCAAACTCCTGGCCTCAAGTGATCAGCCTGCCTCGACCTCCCAAAGTGCTGGGATTACAGGTGTGAGCCACTGTGCCCAGGCTGGATTTTGGCTTTAAAAATAATATTCCTGGCCGGGCGCAGTGGCTCACGCCTGTAATCCCAGCACTTTGGGAGGCTGAGGTGGGCGAATCATGAGGTCAGGAGATCGAGACCATCCTGGCTAATACGGTGAAAACCTGTCTCTACTAAAAATACAAAAAATTAGCCAGGCGTGGTGGCGGGCGCCTGTAGTCCCAGCTACTCAGGAGGCTGAGGCAAGAGAATGGCGTGAACCCAGGAGGCGGAGCTTGCAGTGAGCCAAGATCACGCCACTGCACTCCAGCCTGGGCGACAGAGCAAGACTCTGTCTCAAAAAAAAAAAAAATTCCCTGAAATCGACTGTAGTTAACAGGGAACATTTAAAATGTATCTTGAAATAATTTGAAACTTAGAGAAAAGCTGCAAGAACTCCTGTTTTCTCTTTACCCAAATTCACTAATTTTTGACATTTGCCACAATCTGTGAAGAGACATTTTAATATGATTAAAATATCCTGCATCTTATCAAACCTCACTTTCCCCTTCTGCTAAAGATTTCACAATCCAATGTTTATGATGATGGCTATAAAATGGTGATTTACCAGGCTGGGCGTGGTGGCTCATGCCTGTAATTCCAGCACTTCAGGAGGCCGAGGTGGGTGGATCACTTGAGGTCAGGAGTTCGAGACCAGCCTGACCAACATGGTGAAACCCCATCTCTACTAAAAATACAAAAATTAGCCGGGTGTGGTGGTGCACACCTGGAATCCCAGCTACTTGCAGTGAGCCAAGATCGTGATACTGCACTCCAGCCTGGGCAACAGAATGAGACTCAGTCTCAAAAAAATAAAATAAAAAGAAATAAAATAAAATAAAATGGTGATTTACCAAACTCCATTCCAATTTCTCACATGGAGTTCTACTTCAAGGAAGAGCTCTTTCCTCTCCCAACATGTTTTAGGATCTTAATACCTAATGACAAATAGTTTTATAAACAGCTGTAAATGTAGTGTCATCCATAATCTGTGAATATCAGCGCATGATAAATATCATGTAAGTTGTTCTTTTTTTGGCTAATTAACCGGCAAAAAGATGCACTGTTGCTGCTTTAATTTGCGTATCTTTAATAACAATTAAGGCTGAACTTTTAAAAATATATTTACTGAATTTCACTCTCTCTAGCTTTGACATATACAAATTGTCGGCCAGGCACAGCGGCTCACACCTGTAATCCCAGCACTTTGGGAGGCCAAGGCGGGCGGATACGAGGTCAGAAGATCGAGACCATCCTGGCTAACATGGTGAAACCCTGTCTCTACCAAAAATACAAAAAATTAGCTGGGCATGGTGGCGCACACCTGTAGTCCCAGCTACTCAGAAGGCCGAGGCAGGAGAATCGCTTGAACTGGGGAGGCGGAGGTTGCAGTGAGCCGAGATTGTGCCACTGCACTCCAGCCTGGGTGACAGAGTGAGGCTTCGTCTCAAAAAAAAAAAAAAAAAATTGTCTCTTCATGTATTTTGTCCATTTACATAAAATCTAATGTGTTCCTTATTTATGTGTAGTCTTCACTGAATAATGATATTAACTCTGTGATACTGAATACACATATTTTCTCTAGGTAGTATTTTGCTTTGTTTCACTTTCAAGTTTCTAACTTCATGCAGTAAAATATGCTATAATTTTCTTCTGTGATTTATCTTTGGCTTGAATATTTGATAAATATTTAATTCCATTTTATTTTTCTAAAATAAAGTTCCATTTTACTCTAAATTTAAGAATATTTAAAAAATATTATTTAAGCCATCAGATTTACATTCATGTATTTTGAGAGTGGTCTAATTTTGTTTTTCTAGACTGACAGTCAGCTATTCAACCTTTCAAACACTTACTGGTTAAATTTTCCCTTTTTCAAAATATATGCTCATATGGAACAGGTTCCATCCATTGCTATCTACTCTGTTCTTATCCAGGTATCTACTTTTAAAAATTGTTGTGGTAAAATATACATAACATAAAACTTACAGTTTTAGTAATTTTTCAGCATACCATTTAGAGGCATTAAGTACCATCACATTGTTTTGCAGACCATCTCCACAATGTGTCTCCAGAACCTTTTCCATCATCCCACATGGAAACTGCCCCATAAAACACTAATGCCCAGTTCCCAACCCCTCCTCCCAGGACCTACTCTTGACTTTTGTTTCCTTATATGACATTACATGTCAGGTAAGGCTAGTTCCTCCTTTCAGTTTTCTTGTTAGATCATTTCTTGTTAGATCAGTTTTCTTGTTAGATCATTATATTGCTGATAATGTATTTCACCAAAATGTATTCTTTAGTCTCATTTTGTAAAGTTCCAAGTAAATCCTGTTCAGGATGTATTTAGGGAGAAGTGACTTCATTACAACATCTGGTTTTCCCATCCAATAGCATGTTACGTCTCATATTCAGATTATCTTTTTATACCTCTGAGCAGTTTTATGCCTCTTCCATATATATCACTCACATTTCTTCTTTAAAAAATTATTTATTTAGTTATTTAGAGATGGGGTCTTACTATGTTGCCTAGACTGGTCTTGAACTCCTGGGTTCGGACTGTCCTCGTGCCCTCAGCCTCCTGAGTAGCTGGGACTACAGGAACACACCACTGTACCTGGTGCCACTCACAGTGCTTATTAGGATAATTCTGAGATACCTTTTATTTTTGCTGCAATTATGATGGCAGTTTTTTTCCCTTCCGTTACATTTTCTAATTGGCTATTGTTGATGAGTAAGTGCTGGATTTTTCTATTTTTATCTTGGACTTGGTCACTCTTATGAACTCGAGTAGTGTTTTAGAAATACTGAATATTGGCCGGCCACGGTGGCTCACGCCTGTAATCCCAGCACTTTGGGAGGCCGAGGTGGGCAGACCACCTGAGGTCGGGAGTTCAAGACCAGCCTGACCAACATGGAGAAACCCTGTCTCTACTAAAAATACAAAATTAGCCGGGTGTGGTGCCGCACACCTGTAATCCCAGCTACTTGGGAGGCTGAGGGAGGAGAATTGCTTGAACCCGGGAGGCAGAGGTTGTGGTGAGCCAAGATCATGCCATTGCACTCCAGCCTGGGCAACAAGAGTGAAATGCTGTCTCAAAAAAAAAAAAAAAAGAAAGAAAAAAAAATAAAGAAAAATTGAGTATCATCAAATGTCTTTTTGGCTTATATCTCAACAGACATCTTTTTTTTTTCTTTTTAAGTGGATTGCTAAGGCATACTATACTGAAGCTGCCCATATACCCATCTTGAGCCCCTGCAAGGGCCTAGCCCTGCACAGGCGCTGGTGGTGGGTGATGCAGCCCTGCCCTGTCACGAAGGGAGCCCACCTTCTGGTAATCTTGATCAATTTGGTCCTGCTGAAAGGTTCTTGTATAGTATTGTTTTGTTTTGAGACGGAGTCTTGCTCTGTCGCCCAGGCTGAAGTGCAGTGGCATGATCTCAGCTCACTGCAACCTCTATCTCCTGGGTTCAAGCAATTCTCCTGCCTCAGCCTCCCTAGTAGCTGGGATTATAGGCGCCCGCCACCACACCTGGCTAATTTTTGTATTTTTAGTAGAGAGAGGGTTTTGCCATGTTGGCCAGGCTGGTCTTGAACTCCTGACCTAATGTGATCTGCCCACCTGAACCTCCAAAAGTGCTGGAATTACAGGCGTGAGCACCACGCCCAGCCAAATATTGTTGATGTCATTTATCAGCATCTTGCTTAAAGTTTTTACAATCAATATTCATCAGTAAACAGAGATACCATTGTTCGTGATAGTTTAAATTAGGTTTGGTGTTAGGGTTATTCGGTGTACGCCAGAGCACAAACGGGAGAGGTTTTCTAGTTTTGTTTTTCCTCCTACATGGTGGCAACGTTTAGATCGTGTGAGAGCTGCTTTTTTTGTTTAAGTGGAAAAGATTCGAATTAATTCATCTAGTCAGCAGTATCCTCACCCACCCCACCCCTAGCAACTTTTTGCTTTTTTAGGTGAGAACAGTTATTTTTGGAGAACTCCCTTAATTTCATCCTATTGTTCTGGGTCAGATTTTCCACTTTTTTCTACTTCTTAGGCCAATATTTCTTTGTCATGTATATTGTTGCAGAAAATAATTCACAGGGGTTTTCAAATTCTTAGCATATAGCTGTGTGGTTTATTTAATAATGGAAACAATGGTCTTCTCTATCTGTCATCACAATGTCTTCCTCCTTCCCCCACTTAATTCCCTCCCTCTTTTCCTTGATGTGATCTGATATTTTATTAGTAGCCACTTTCCTCT